GTGGGGACAAGCATAGTAACAAACTTTACTCTGAAAAATCCTCAGGAGGCTGAGAAATTAGTGGCATCAACTTCGTCAGAAAATCAGGATAAGAGGACAACTATAATAGTACTTAGCCCCCACCATGCATGACATTGGGCAATTGTTCACCCCTCAGGCAAAAGTCTATAGTTTATTCTTTAGACTGTAGGTAATGGATACCATTGAGAGAAGAAAATTAATTTCAAAAGAATGTAACTTAATGAAACTCATACATTTTGAATGCTGAGGCTTTTCACCTCTCATTGCCTACCTGGCTTTTAGAATTGTGATAGGTAAGCCTGTACTCCACAGATATAGAAGGGTAAAGAAGAATCTTGGTTTTGCCTATTTGTTTGTTGCTTTAATTTTCATTTCTGAAGTGAGCTTGTATCTATCAGTTTCATTTGACTTTACTTCTGATATCAGGGTTGGTGCATGAGAATGTGGGCCAATTCAATAAGCACAGCATCTGTTCATTGGCAATTGACATTTATTTGCTTGTGAATTTTATTTATGTTCTCTGCACTTTTATCTATTGGATAATTTTTCTATTTCATATTAATTTGTAGGATTTTATTACACACAAATGATTTACTTTTTGATCTCATTTAGGGGTTTCAAATACATCTCCCAGTTTAGTATTTCGCTTATGGCATCAAAAAAATTGGGATTATCTGTATTACTTGCTGATATTGTATAAAAATGGTCATTTTATCATTTTCTCACTGTGCTTTCTTCTACTTTAAACTACCATCCCCTTTCTAAAGAAACCTCTATATTTGGAATGTGTTTTCTACTTACCAGATAAGGGGCTGGCCGGTTAGCTCAGTTGGTTAGAGTGCAGCCTTGTAGCACCAAGATTAAGGGTTCAGTTCTGTGAACCTGCCAGCTGCCAAAAATAAAAAAATAAAAAAGACAAGGAAGAAATACAAGCAACGTCTGTATACATATACAGATAGTGGATTATGTGATGTGTTTCACTGGTCTGGAGTAGCACTAGTCTTCTTTCTGGAGAATCATATGGGAACAAAGAACCCCAAGGCAGTTACAGTCCTTGGTACTGGGAATTGGTNTGTTTTTCTCTTAGGAGAGAGATAGAAAATCTTAAAGATCTATATCTTCACTATGTTTCATCAATACAAAATATTCATGTTACTATTGAGGAGAATGAAGTGGCAGTGACTGAAGTCTTGAAGGAAACAACGTCATCATCAAAAGAATTATCTAGTTTATCAAGAACGGTGAGTTTTTCATGCTTTAAAATGAAATACTGGGCCGGCCCAGTGGCGCACTCAGTAGAGTGCGGCACTTGGGAGCGTGGTGGCGCTCCCGCCGAGGGGTCGGATCCCATATAGAGA